TAAATAAAATCTTAAAAAAAAAAAAAAAGATGGGCGCCTGGGTGGCTCAGTTGGTTAAGCATCTGCCTTCGGCTCTGGTCATGATCCCGGAGTCCTGGGATCGAGGCCCGCATCGGGCTCCCTGCTCCACGGGGAGCCTGCTTCTCCCTCTGACCCTCTCCCCTCTCATGCTGTTTCTCTCTCTCTCTCAAATAAATAAATAAAATCTTGAAAAAAAAAATACACAGAGCTGTCAACCCTGCAGGAATAAGATGAGGGGGTGGTGGGAGAGGCCCACAGAGCCCAAGGTGCGGTGTGGGGGGGCAGCTCCTGCAGTCATGGGAGGGACTTCTGAGCAGGGCCTCAGTAGAGATGGGGGCCCAGCGAGCTGGAGCAGATAGGGCAGTGTGAGCAAAGCCACACTGGGAAAAGTGAAAGTGTCATAAGGGCCAGAGAGGGTGGCTGGATGCTTGTCAGCGGCATAGTCCGTGGAGAGAGAAGGTTTGACTACTCTGTGACTTTATTGTTATTACTATTATTTTAAAGATTCTATTTGTTTCACAGAGAGAGACAGCGAGAGCAGGAACACAAGCAGGGGGAGAGGGAGAGGGAGAGGGAGAAGCAGGCTTCCCGCTGAGCGGGGAGCCCGATGTGGGGCTCCATCCCAGGACCCTGGGACCATGACACGAGCCCAAGGCGGATACTTAACCAACTGAGCCACCCAGGCGCCCCTACTCCGTGACTTTAGCAAGATGTGCACTCTCTATGAGTCCGTGTCTTCATCTCCGGAACAGGCTCATGACGGTGGCTTTGCAAGGTCGTCGAGCTGACCCCAGGGGACTGACGCGAGCAAGTGCTCAGCACACAGAGAGGGCACAAGAACCGGCTCCTATTATTATGCAATTTGAACTTTATTCTTAGGTCTATGTTTCTCGTTTTGGAAAGTTTATCTTTTAGCAGCAGAAGCCTTTTTATTCAAATGAGAATGTCTCCAGAACTGCATCGTATCGAAGCCGAAGCCGGGCAGGAGTGAGGCCGTGTGGAAAGCTGGCTCAGGGGCTGGGTCTGCAGTCCTGCCCACTAGGGTGCCCAGCTGGTGGCGGGGCCGGGGGAGCCTGGGGGTGGGGAACCCGAGAGAGAGAGAGAGAGAGAGAGAGAGAGAGAGAGAGAGAGAGAGGAGGGAGGGGGCGAGTGGAGGGAGGCCGCTCTGGGTCCTTGTCCTGGGGGGAGTTCCGACACAGACTGGGGCCCAGGGCCCTTGGCCCCTCTTGACCACATGGGACATTGGTGGTGCTTCCTTGGGGTGCAAGACAAAGGCTTAGGATCTGTTCAGACATTTATCGAGCACGCACCTGGGCCTGGCCTGGGCTGGAAGCTGAGCTCCCAGGTGGTGGGGAAGATGGAAACACTGAGGGAGTTCAGTCCTCTGGGGAAGCACAGGGTGCTGGGGGCGCCCAGGTGGGCAGTTGGGATCAAGTGGGCTTCAGGAAGGCTTCCTGGAGGCAGCAAATGCTTGGGCAGAGCTGGGAACAGTTAATGAGGGTGAACCTGGTCAAAAAAAAAAAAAAAGCTGGAAGGGTGTTCCAGGCAGAGGGAACGGCATGGATAAGGCACAGAGGCTTGCCACAAACAGTCCATATGTAGGTGGGGCCCTAAAGCAGCGTGGGCTCACAGGAGGGGAAATGGAAAGGTAGGCATGAGACAGGAGGGAGTTGGGCCTGAGTGCTGCACTGGGGTAGCAAGTCTTCATCGCCCTCTGGGTCCCTGAAGCCCCATCCCTTACCCCGCAGGTCCTGGTGGCCGGCATTGAGGCGAACATACCTGTGACCTATGGAATTGGCAGCCAGAGGGGAGAAGAGAGCACTGGCTGTCAATTCATAGGTCAGAGCCCTGTGCACTCGGTCTCAGCAGCCTGCTGACGGCCCACCGGCCTTGGCCATGCTGGGCCTGGGAGCGTGGCCATGGAGGTCCCTGCTGGTCTGCTCCTCCGTGGGTACTGGCCCCCATCCCCGATAACAGCAGCCCCACTGGAACCAGTGGACACTTCCACATGGAGTTGCTGTTACAGGGGGTGAAAACCGGCTGGAGGCCTGGGCCCTGCCTGCCTGGTAGCTGCCCTTGGGCAGAAGTCTGGGGAGGACCTCATGCCCACCCATCGGGTCCATGGTCTTTTTATCGAGGCTCCTTATCATCCGGGGCCCACACCTAGAGTCCCCGCGGCAGCCCCCCTTCTCTGGGCGAAGTCCAGGCTCAGCCCCAGCTCTGCTCATAAAGCCGGGAGTGGCTCCGATTTACAGCTCCTGGGCAGCCTTTGCCCACTCTGCCATCCCCACGCCCTCTGTCCCCAAGTTCCTTGTTTCCTCCTTTCTTTCCCAACCAGAACTGGGCCTCAGTTCCAGGTTGGGCCATGGTGGCCTCCACCCTCTGCCCTTTGCCCACCCTTCCTGCCACAGCCACAGGGCAGAGGGACAGTGAGGGACAGCTGGGCATCTGTCAGTCTCCAGGGCCCAGATTCCTGGGGATGGCCCCAGATGAGAAGCAGGAGGCAAGACTGAGAGGGGCGGGGGTGCAGGGGGGAGACAGAAAGTAGGAGAGTGAGGCAGAGAGGCCAAGAGAGAAGCAGATGTGGAACAGGAGGGAACTGGAAAGGAACAGAGCAAATACGGACAGAGAAAGGCGAGGGGGGAGGCAGGGGGGAGAACAGGGAACTTGAAAAGATGCTGATACACAAACCTGCTGGCCTCATGCTAAGAACAGGGCTGTCAGCAACCACCATCTGGAAGAACACTTAGCACCTCAGTGGCCTGAGAGCCAGCAGGGGTCTGGGAGCTGGGTGACCTTGAGCATGTGGCTTAACCCCTCTGAGCGGTGGCTGGTTCCTCACGTGCAAATCAGGGCCTGTGAGGCCTGTCCTGCCCTCTGGCCTTGACTGGTGGGAAGCCACCCTCCCTTCAAGCTTTGGTTCCATCCCTGCTGTGGGGAGCGGAAGGGGCTGCTGGCTGTGGTCCCTGAGCGGGCCCAGGACCCCCAGAGGAGCAGACTTTTCTCCTGCAAAGTGTGTTTGCACCCACCCTCCCATTCTCCAGACAGGATCTGGACCAAGAGGTTTCAGTGACAGGTTCCAATACCAATCCTACCCACCTAGGGGACATTTTGGAGAACCCAAAACTTCTGGAGGGGAGAGGGGACCTGGGACTCTGAGCCTTGAGAGTGGACTTGGGCAGTGGAAATGCCCAGAGAGGCAAAGGAGGCTGCCCAAGGTCACAAAGCAGGGCCTTGAGGTCTGTCCTGTCTGGCAACTTCTCTGAAGTGGCCTCCTTCCTCTGGGGATGCAGTCAAGGTGGGATGGGAGGTCCCTGGGCAGGAGTCCTTTCCCTGGGAGGACAGGCCTGTGAATGAAGACACCATAGCAGGTGACACCTCCCACCCGCCAAAGCCCAGAAGGCCCTCCCGAAGATGCCCAGGCAAGGCCGAGCGCGAGGCTAGGCGGAGGCAGTGGTGGTGGCCGCCCAAGCAGGAGTCCCGGCCCTCTCATCTCACAGGTGGAAGTGGGGGCCCAAGATTGGAAGGGACTTGCGTGGTTCACCCAGCGGCTGCCTAGGCCCTTTCCTTTCTTCCTCAGAAGGGCTGGGGCCCCTGCAGCAGGTGGCTGGGCTCAGGACAGCCCTGGGGCCCAAGGGCTGTGGGGGTCTGACTGCCCGGGCAGGCTCTTACCTGGGTGCCTGGCTGGCCCTCAGGGCACAAGGAGGAAGTAGGGGCGCCCTGGGCCCAGTGCCTTTTGAGCCGTTGGCCCAGCCCCTGGCGGTGGTTAATGATTATCCTGCTGCCTGTCAATAGGGATCACAAGTGTGGTTCGAAGGGCATGGAACCCTGGACTGTGCCCAGGCAGGGTGGGGCACTTCTAGGAAGCATCAGGCTGGGCCCCCGTCTGTCCCCTCCGGTGGCATCAGACCCCAGCCACCCACACCCTGTCTTCTTCCCCTCCCCCTCCCCCTCCGCTTGGCTGACTGCCCCAGGTGACCGTGGGCGGCCAGGACCCCCGGGATCCACCTGGACAAAACTGCTCTGTTCATTTGGTGCCCAGACACAAAGGGGACAGCAAGGACACAGAAGGGACCGGGGGGGATCTTTGCTCACCCGAAAGGTCTGTAGATGACCCTAGCAAGTGAGGGTTCTCTAAGTCTGTGCCTCTTAACCTGAGCCTCAGTTTCCCCAGAGGCCCACTGCCCACCTGCCTCAGCACAATGCTACTGGGGAGCAAGGCGGGTGGGGCATGATCAGATTAGGCCCTCTCGCTCTGAAGAAACAAGGTGTGTGTGTGTGGGGGGGTTGTAATGGGCATTTTCCCTACCCCATGTCAGGAGCCCTGCTAGCCAGTGCTGCCCCCAGCACCCCTCCCCGTCTGGTGCCCTGGAGCTGGGACCCCAGAGCAGAGGCTCCGATCACCCGACAAGCCTTCTGCCAGGGATGGCAGGAGCAGCCTCCAGGGGGCGCAGCCCTCCAGGAATGGTCCCTGGGTAGGGATCACCAGGAGGGGCCCGAAGCTCAGAGACCAAGGGTGCAGCCTCAGACCACACGGTCAGGGTCTGAACCTTCTTGGGGCACCCCACAGCCTGACCCTTTGCTCCGTCTCAGTGTCCTCCTAGCTGTCCCCTCACCCCTGGCCCTAGGTAAGGCTGGATCCTGGGCTCTTGCAGGGCTAGAGCCGAGAAACATGGTCGGGGTGAGGTGGGCTCCGGGCCCCTTGGGCCTCTTCGCTCAGCCCCTGCCGCACAGAAGTGGGGCTGGCAGCGGCGAGGGGCAGAGTGCGGACGTAGGGCAGCCAGGGGGACTGCAGGGCCGGACAGCTAGCTGGGGGCCAGTTTTAACCTGCTGGGCAGGTGTGGTGACCCCTGGTAGGAACATGGGGGATGCTGGGTAGGGACGTGGGGATCTGGGTGAGAGCCAAGGTCAAGGCTGAGGCTGGGGCAGCGCAGGTACACAGGATGAGGGGGCCGGCGGTGGGCACAGTTTATTGCACTTCATGCAGATACTGACCCACACGCTCCAAGGAGCTTAAAAATACATTGACCCCCACAGTGTCTGTCCCCCACCTCCCCCCAGACACAGAGAGACACTTGGCTGAGTGGGGTCGGGGTCTGAGGGTCCAAGAGCCTCCGTCCTGGGACGAGGCGGCAGTGTGGGCCCAGGTGGTGGTGGAGGCGGTGTCCTTTCTCCCCAGAGGAAAAGTGCAGAGACGGGGCTGAGGCCCCAGGCAGGGAGGCCTCGTTCTCACAGCGACTGGCAGGGGGTGCCAGGCAGGGTCCTTCAGGGTCCTTCCCAAGGGCCCGCCCGGCTGTGGGCCGAAAGCTCTGGGGAGGCGCAGGAGCCAAGACGCCACCGGGGCTGGCTGGGCGAGGTGGGGAGCAGCGCCCGTGGGTCCCGGCGCCCGGTGCTCAGTCCTGGCCTTCGTCTGAACGCCACTTGAGAGCGTGGTCCTTGTGTGCGTCGGGGAGGATCTGGTTTCGCATCCCCCCGAGCAGACTGGACGTGGCCTCTGTGGCTAGAATGAGGGGCTTCACCACGGTTGGGGGCAGCTGGCGGATCACGCCCCCCACGGCACCCGTCAGCCCCTTCTGCTCGTGGCCCCGAGATGCCACGTCACAGATGGTCTGAGCCGTGTCCAGGATGCCCTGTGGAAGTCGGAGGTCAGCGCAGGGGTTTGGGGGCGGGGGGGACGTGGGCGTGGGACTGGGAAGAGGGCAGGGTCTCATCACCTCTCGAACTGTGTCATAGGCCTTCGCCACACCTTCCCGGAGGTCAGCAGGCTGGTGGCCCTTTCGCAGCCTTCGCACGGAGCGCTTGTCCTGCAGGGAGCGGGGGATGGGCGCTGCTGGGGACAGGATGTCGTACACGGTCTCAGCTGTGGCCTGAGGGGACATGGAGGGCACCAGATGAGGAGAGCCAGCGCGGGCACACACACCCAGCCCCTAGGACCCCAAGCCAGCCCCAGAGGACCGTGCTGGAAGCCCTGGCCAGCGCAGGGGCTGGGGGGGCATCACGCCTCTGCCTCCCCCACAGCCGTGCTTTACGGGGCTGCTCCTGCATCCTGCCGATGCTTCCAGCGCCCAGGTCGGGGGGCTTCAGGTGGAAGGCATTCTCCTCATGTCCACTGGACCCCAAACCCTCCTCGGGTGGACCACCACATGTGGACCCTTGCCCCATTTGTGAGGTGCCGCCCGTGCAGCTTTCGAGACCGAGTGTACCGTCTCCCCTACCCTGCCCCTCGTCTGGCCCTGCCAGCTCTGGGGGAAGCCCGGGCGGAGTGCTGGGGTCCCTTAGCTCACCCCACCAACTCTCATCTGCCTTCTTACGCTGGCTGCTCTGTTCCTTTTGCCCCTCACTTCTCACCCTGCCTCCTCACCTAGCTGTGCCTTTGGGGGGCTCTCTGGGGCCTGCTTATCCTTCCAGCCTCCTTGCTAGAGATCTTGCCCGCGGCCTGCAAGGGGCTGGGCGTGCAGATCCCAGAAAGCCCTGAGCTCCCCCTTGCATCTGCACGCTCACCGCCCCACAGAGGCCTGCCCATCCTCGCCCGTCCACTAGTGTTCACGGCACTGAACTAGAGCTGCTCGCAGGACAACTCCCGGGCCTCCCTGGGGATCTGTCTGGGCCTAGCCGAGTGCGGGGCCTGAATGAGTGAGGGCCAGTCTGCGCCGCGGTTTTCCTGTCTGTAAACAGAGCCACACCCCCTTCCCTCCTCGTCAAGAGCTGGCCAGGAGCAGACACCCAGTGGGCTAAAAGCACGCAGGGCACCCACCCCCCGAGGAGTTGCTGTGGGCTCCAGGCCGGTCAGTGAGCCTCTCCTGTCCATGATTGTGTCTCATAAAATGAGACCGCTCATCCAGACTGTCCATCCTTAGTAGCGCTTTGGGGACAGATCAGGCACCATGGAGCAGACTCTCCCTGCCCTACGTGGCCTGGAAGCAGGTGCCCACTCACCTGGATAGCCTGCACCAGCCGGTTGCTGAGTTCCAGGGCGGCCGAGGCCGTGGATGAGCCAAAGGAGGCGGCCCCCCGCTGCAGCCCCCGCATGAGGCGCCCGTCCTTTCTGTACTGCTCGATGGGCAGCCAAAGCAGGTCCCGGAACCCTTGAACTGCAGGGACCGGGCTGTCAGAGATGCCCGAGGCTGTGCGGCCCGCACCGACCCTGACTTAGGACCTCCTCCCCCTACTCCTGGGGGTAGCTTCTAGGCTGCCCAAGAATCAGAGCCGTTTCCAGAGCCCCCACAGCCAGCCACTCACAGAGCTGGACAACGGAGTGCATGGGGCCTACACCCCCCAGCAGGCCAGGCAGCTGGTTCTTGCGGATATCCTGTAGCCACTCGTTGAGAGCGTAGCCCAGCACCTTGTCCACACCCAGGAGTCTGGGAAGGGGAGAGGAGAGGAGGGTACAGGGGCAGAGCCACACACTGAGGGGTCCTGGGGCCAGGACCCGAGTGAGGTACCCCAATGCTCTCCAGCCCAGTGCAAAGGATGACTGTGCCCACTTCACAGAGTGGAAACTGAGGCACCAGAGGAGGACTTGGCCAAGGCCACACAACCAGTCAGGATATAGCCAAGGGAAGACAGGAGACTGGGGGTGCTGGAGGGGATGGGGGGCTCACCCATGTCGGCAACAAAGCCGCTTCAGCTTCAGCTCGGAGCAGTTGAGCTGGGCTAGGCCGATGAGGAGGCCAGCGAAAGTACCCTGCGGAAGGAGGGATTTGGGTTCACACGATTCAGCTCTTCGGAGCCCCTGGAGGCCGGCTCAGCAGCCACTGCTGCTGGATCAAGCCCCGGCCCCCAGAAGACGAAGCCACACCCGGGCAGAATGGGGAGCCCCGAGAAGGCTGGCCCACGCAGCCACTCCGCGGGACAGCCCCACTCACCACCTGGTCCATGGTGACGTGCTTGCCGTGGTAATCCAACCAGATAGGCACCTCGGACGTGAAGCGGAACTCCCTGGATGGGAAACAGGGAGAGGGGGCCTTTGGTGCCTGACCCCGCCCCCTGCAGCCTGGGCGAGGACTCCCAGCCTTCAGCCCTACCTGAAGTAGATAGGCTGCTGCTCAGCAGAGGAGCTGTGTCCACCGCCCGTGGCCTCCTGGGAGCCGGTCATCTCTGCGTCCTCAGGCCGGCCCTCCTGGAGGCTGCTGGGCTGGACTCGGGTCTCAGGGCGAGCTAGGGTGGGGGACACCGATGGGGGACGGGCCCAGGGATGGCTGGGAGGCGGGAGGCGGGAGGCCCGGGCCCTCCCCTCCCAGCTCAGCCTCTCACCCTCAGCGGACGTCTCTGCCGAGACCATAGGATTGATGCTAGCCACCAAGCTGGTGAAGAAGTCTTTGAGGAAGAGCAGGGCGTCCTGCCGGGGAAGGTGCAGGTCAGAGAGGCCCAGGGGCAGTGGGGCTCACCGCGCGCTCTGCCCCCTTCTGGCCTACTCACCTGGTCCACGTTGAGCCGCAGGGGCATCAGCGAGACCCGGAGACAGCACTCGGGCCCCCCCAGGTTGGTTGTGGGGGCCACGTGCAGTGCTTTGATGGTGAGCTGGGGGCAGAGGGCAAGCTCTGGGAACCCGCCGGGCCTCAGGCCCCTGCCCCCACCCTGTACCCCGCCCCCCCGGTGCCACATCTGCACACGCTGGTCCCTCAGCTGGGCCTGCCTGAGCCCCAGCATTCTCCCAGGCTCCCAACCCCCTGCTGTATGGGCACACACGGCCCTGCCCGCGGTGGCAAGC